TGATTTGTTTATTTGACCCTCTTGCCATCCCGCTTGCACGCCAAACTTCAATGAACAAGGTGCATGACGCAGCCGTGTGTGTATATATATATACATACATACATACATACATACATACATACATATATGTATGTGTGTGCGTATGTGTGTGTATTTGTGTGTGTCTGTGTGTGTCTATGTGTGTCTGTGTGTGTGTGTCTGTGTGTGTGTGTCTGTGTGTGTGTGTCTGTGTGTTTGTGTGTGTCTGTGTGTGTGCCTGTGTGTGTCTGTGTGTGTCTGTGTGTGTCGGTGTTTGTGTACTTGTGTGGTTGCGTGCTTGTGTGTTTGCTTGTGTTGTTTGTGTGTGTTGTTTGTGTGTTGTTTGTGTGCTGTGTGTGTGGTGTTTGTGTGTCGTGTGTTTGTGTGTGGTTGTGTATTGTATGTTTGTGTGTTTGTGTGTTTGTGTGTTTGTGTGTGGGTGTGTGGGTGTGCGGGGGTGTGGGTATGGGTGTGTGTGTGTGGGTGTGGTTGTGTGTGGGTGTGCTTGTGGGTGTGGGTGTGTGTGTGTGGGTTGTGTTATGTGTGGTGTGTGTTATGTGTGCTTGTGTGTGAGTGTGTGTGACTGTGTGCGTGTGGTGATGCGGGTGTGTGTGTGTGTTGTATGTGTGTCTGCCTGTGTCGGTCTCTCTGTGGTTGTGTGTGTTCGTGTCTGTGCGTGCTTGTGTTTGTATTTGTGTTTGTGCTCGTGTGTGTGAGTGTGTGAGAGTCTGTGTCGGTGTCCGTGTCTGTGTCTGTGCCTCTGTGCCTTTGTGTCTCTGTGTATGTGTTTCTGGATGTCTGTGTGTCTGTGTGCCTGTGTGTCAGTGTGTCTGTCTGTCTGTCTCTCTGTCTGTCTGCCTGTTTGTGTGTCTGTCTGTCTGTGTGTCTCTGTGTCTGTATGACTGTGTGTTTGTCTCTGTGTGTCTCTGTGTGTCTCTGTGTGTCTCGGTGTCTCTGTGTCTGTGTCTCTGCGTCTGTGTGCGTGTGTCTGTGCGTGTCTGTGCGTGTCTGTGTGTGTCTGTGCGTGTCTGTGCGTGTTTGTGCCTGTGCGTGTGTGTCTGTGTGTCTCTGTGTGTCTGTGTCTCTGTCTCTGCGTGTCTATCTGCGTGTCTCTGTGTGTGTCTGTGTGTGTGTCTGTCTGCGTGTGTCTGTGTGTGTCCGTAGGTGTCTATGTGTGACTGTGTGTGTCTGTCTGCGTCTGTGTGTGTCTGTCTGGTCTTTGCCTGTCTGTCGTTGTGTCTGTCTGTCTGTCTGTCTGTCTGTCTGTCTGTCTATGTGTCTCTGTGTTCCCGCGGCGCAACGCCTGCAGCTGGGGCTGGTCCGTCCTGGCCTTCCCCATTTCTTCGCACGCGCCTCGCAGGCCCGCTGGTCTCGGCGCATTTGCTCATCCCTGGACTCTGCTCGGTCCACCGCCTTCCTTCTCTCCCTGCCCGCGCCTCGTAAGCCCGCAGGTCTCGGCGCACTGGCCCGTCCTTGGGCCGTGCCTTGGTTCACTGGGTCGGGATATCGTTACGTTGTGTTTCTCCAACACCTGTTGCAGTCCAGTGCTGCTTCCCCCCCAGCTTCAGCTTAGTGCAGCTCAGTGCCGGAGGAAGAGAAGGAGGAGGAGGAAGAGGAGGAGAGGAGGACACTTCGGCGCTCCCCCCGCCGCAATCGGCAGCTCTGGGTCCTCCTCCGTGCACTGCGGCCTCAATTTGCATACGGCGTGTCCCCATGTTGCCATTCCGCCGGAGTAGTCACCTTCTGCCCAGCCGCCGACGCAAAAAGTGTGTCTTTGTGTGTGTCTTTGTGTGTGTGTCTTCTGTGTCTTCTGTGTGTCTGTGTGTCTTCTGTGTGTGTCTTCTGTATGTGTCTTCTGTGTGTCTTCTGTATATGTTTTCTGTTTTTGTTCTGTGTGTGTGTCTGTATCTTCTGTGTCTTCTGTGTGTCTGTGTGTCTTTGTGCCTGTGTGTCCGTCCAACTGTCTGTTTGTCTGTCGGTGTGTGTGTCTCTATGTCTATGCGTCTCTCTGTCTGTCTGCTTCTCTGTCTGCTTGTTTGTCTGGCTGTCTGTCTGTCTGTGTGTGCGTGAGTGTGCGTGTGCGTGTGTGTGCGTGTGTGCGTGTGTGCATGTGTGCGTGTGTGCATGCGTGTGTGTGTGTGTGTTTGCGTGCGTGTGCGTGTGCATGCGTGCGTGTGTGCGTGAGTGCGTGTGTGCGTCTGTGTGTGCGTGTTTGTGTGCGTCCGTGTGTGTGAGTGTGTGTGTACGTGTGTGTGTGCGTGTGTGTGTGTGTGCGGGCGCGGCCCCATTGCCAGCGCAGCAACTCTGCTTAGCCGCCGACGTAAAAAGTGTGTGCGTGTGTGCGTGCGTGAGTGTGTGTGTGTGCGTGCGTGCGTGCGAGTGTGCGTGTGTGTGTGTGTGCGTGTGCGTGTGTGTGGGTGTGTGTATGTGCGTGTGTGGGTGTGTGCGTGTATGGTATGCGTGTGTGCGTGAATGTGTGTGTTGTGCGTGTGTGTGCGTGTGTGCGTGTGCGTCTGTGCGGGTGTGTGTATGTGCGTGTGTGGGTGCGTGCGTGTATGTATGCGCGTGTGTGTGTGTGTGTGCGTGTGTGTGGGTGTGTGCGTGTGTGCATGTGCGTCTGTGTGTGCGTGTGTGCGCGTCTGTGCGTGTTTGAGTGCGTGTGTGCGTGTGTGTTTGTGTGTGCGTGCGTGCGTGTGTGCGTGTGTGACTGCGTGTTTGTGTGTGTGCGTGTGTGCGTGCGTGTGTGTGTGTGCTTATGTGCGTGTATACGTGTGTGCGTGTGTGTTGTTTGTGTGCGTGCGTGTGTGCATGTATGCGTGCGTGTGTGTACGTGCGTGTGCGTGCGTGTGTGCGTGCGTGTGTACGTGTGTGCGTGTGTGCGTGCATGTGATTGTGCGTGTGTGCCGGGCGCGCGTGTGTGCGTGCGTGTGTGCGTGTGTGTGTGTGCGTGTGTGTGCGTGTGTGCCTGTGTGCGTGTGTGTGTGTGTGTGCGTGTGCGCGTGTGCGCGTGTGCGCGTGTGCGCGTGTGCGTGTGCGCGTGTGCGCGTGGGCGTGTGCGTGTGTTCGCGCGTTCGCGTGTGCGTGTCTGCTTGTCTGTCTGGCTGTCTGTCCGTCTGTGTGAGTGTGTGTGTGTGCGTTTTTGCGTGTGTGCGTGTGCGCGTGTGCGCGTGTGCGCGTGTGCGCGTGCGCGTGTGCGCGTGTGCGCGTGCGCGTGTGCGTGTCTTCGCGCGTTCGCGTGTGCGTGTCTGCTTGTCTGTCTGGCTGTCTGTCCGTCTGTGTGTGTGCGTGTTTGCGTGTGTGCGTGCGTACGTGTGTGTGTGCGCGTGTGCGTGCGCGTGCGCGTGTGCGCGTGTGCGCGTGCGCGTGTGCGTGTGTGCGCGTGTGCGCGCGTGCGCGCGTGCGCGTGTGCGTGTGTGCGCGTGTGCGCGTGGGCGCGTGCGTGTGTGCATGTGTGCGTGTGTGCGTATGTGTGCGTGCGCGTGTGCGCGTGCGTGTGTGCGGTTGTGCGTGTTCGCGTGTGCGCGTGCGTGTGTGTGTGTGAATGCGTGTGCGTGTTCGTGCACTGGTGCGCGTTTGTGTGCGTGGGCGTGTGCGTGCCCGTGTGCGTGTGCACTTGCGTGTGCGTGTTCGCGTGCGCGTGCGCGTGCGTATGTGCGTGTGCCTTTGCGTGTGCGTGTGTGCGTGTGCGTGTGCGTGTTTGCGTGTGTGTATGTGTGTATGTGAATGTGTGCGTGTGCGTTTATGTGTGTATGTGTGTGTATGTCTGTCTGTCTGTCTGTCTGTTTGCGATGGTGGCGAAATTCCCCCAACGTTGCCCTATGTCGCTCCCGGGACAGTCACTATGCCGAGCCACCGACGCGAAAAGTAATTGCGTGTGTGTGGTGTGTGTGTGCGTTGCGAGTGTGTATGTGTGTGCGTGTGTGTGTGTGTGTTGCGTGTGTGTGTGCGTGCGTGCATATGCGTGCGGGTGCGTGTGTGGGTGTGTGTGTGGGGGTGTGCGTGCGTGTGCGCGCGTGTGCGAGTGCGTGCGTGTGCGTGCGTGTGCGTGCGTGTGCGTGCGCGTGCGTGCGTGTGCGTGCGTGTGCGTGCACGTGCGTGTGCGTTTACGTGTGTGCGTGCGTGTGTGCGTGTGTGCGTGTGTGCGTGTGTGCGTGTGTGCGAATGTGCGCGTGCGCGTGCGAGTGTGTGCGCGTGTGCGTGTGTGCGTCTGTGCGTCTGTGCGTCTGTGCGTGTGTGCGTCTGTGCGTGTTTACGCGTTTGCGTGTGTGCGTGTGTGCTTGCGTGCGTGTGCGCGTGTGCGCGCGCATGCGTTTGTGCGTTTGTGCGTGTGTGCGTGTGTGCGTGCGTGTGAGCGTTTGTGCGAGTGTGCGCGTGTGTGGTGTGTGTGTTGCGTGTATATGTGTGCGTGCGTGTGCGCGTGTGTGCAAACGTGCAAGCGTGCAAGCGTGCGCGTATTCGTGTGTGCGTGTGTGCGTGTGTGCGTGTGTGCGTGTGTGCGTGTGTGCGCGTGCGCGTGTGTGCGTGTTTGCGTGTGTGCGTGCGTGTGTGTGTGCGTGTGTGCGTGTGTGTGTGTGTGTCTGTGCGTGTGTGCGTGTGTGCGTGTGTGCGCGTGTGCGTGTCTGTGAGCGTGCGCGTGTGGGCGTGTGCGTGTGTGCGTGTGTGTGTGTGTGCGCGTGTGCGTTTGTGTGCATGTGTGTGCGTGTGTGCGTGCGTGTGTGCGTCTGTGCGTCTGTGCGTCTGTGAGTTTGCGCTTGTGTGCGTGTTTGCGTGTGTGCGTGTGTGCGTGTGTGCGTGTGTGCGTGTGTGCGTGTGTGCGTGTGTGCGTGTGTGCGCGTGTGCGCGTTTGCGTGTGCGCGTGTGTGTGCGCGTGTGCGTGTGGTGTGTGTGTGTGTATGTTTATGTCTGCGTGTGTACGTGTCTGTGTGTGTGTGTCCCGGGGGAGCGGCCCGGTCGTTTATGTTGGGCCCGTCTGGCCGTCGCAGTGTGGCTCACCGACCGCGGCATCGTGGGGCCGGACGGCTCCTGGCAAATGAACGTCTGGCAGGGCAACTTCCCGAGGTCCAACGAGAAGAGCGACGGCTACCACGCCATCGCCCCGGTGAAGGCCTACCCTCCGAACTCGTACGGCCTATACTCGACCGTCGGCAACGTGTGGGAATGGACGGCGGACGCATGGCGGCTTCCCAACGACCGCCAGGGCCAGGAGGAGCAGTGGACGCTGAAGGGCGGCTCGTTCATCGATAGCGTCGACGGCGCCCACAACCACAAGGCCACGGTCGTGACCCGCATGGGCAACACTGCGGACAGCGGCAGTTACAACACCGGTTTCAGGTGCGCCTCGGGTGCGGGGGGCGGTGGGCGCAAGCAGAAGCTCGATGAGCAGAAGATGTCGAAGCTCGTGGAGGAGGGCGGCGTTGAGGCCCTCACGGACTTTTTGAAGCAATCTGGCCAGGGGGCGCAGGTGATCACCGCCGCCGACCTGAAGGGGAAGTACGAGAGGCTTCAGGAGACGAAGGAGGATATGTCCCCCGAGGAGCTTGAGTCGAAGCTCAAGGAGCTCAATGCTCTCAAGGAGCAACTGGCGGCCAGGTAAGTCAGTGTGGGAGCGAAGACGGCTTCAAAGCGCGCCAGTGTCCCTTCCCGCCGAGCACTTGCGTCAGCGCAGCCCGCGCCACGATTTCTCATCGCCGTCATCCTCCCTCCTCTCCAGAACTACCCTTTCTCACCCTCTTCCTCGCCCTCCTGCTACTACTCATCCCCCCTATCACGCCCCACCATGTCCCATCCTGCATCCCCTCCCCCACCGCCCCTTTGCATGACCCCGCTCCTTCCCCGCCCTCCTCCCCCCCCGCCTCCCCACCTCGGACGGGGCTAGGACGAGGATAACTTCTTTCCAGAGCGTTCCGGAACGCTCTGAGAGCGTTCCGGAACGCTCTGAGGAGGCTGCGGCGCCCGGGACATCCTCCAGAACCGCCCGATCTCAGAGATGATCGGTCTATCCGTAAGTCGGGTCTGTCCCCCTACAGGAGGAACATTCAAAAATAGTGTTAAGAAAAAGTCAGGGAACGATTGTTTGAGCATCCTTTTGTTATTGTTAGGGAAGTTTCTGCGTATTTCTAAGCTTTCGCCCAAAATCCACATGTAGGGGGACATGCCCGAACTGAGTCTATCCCCACCCGGATTTATCTTCGTCCTGGCTTCGTCTCCCCACCCTCTTTACGTGAGTGGCCCAGGCGTAGCAAAAAAAGGGGCTGGGCCGCGCAGAGCCCTGTTCCCCCCTTCTGCGCGAGGAGCCCCCCCCCCCCCTGTTGCCTCCTGGCCCGTAGCCCCCGGGAGACCAGGGCACCCTTGATCTGTCAACAGGGCCCTCCTCCCCCTCCCCCTCCCCCTCCCCCTCCCCTCCTCCTCCTCTCCTCCTCCTCCTCCTCCTCCTCCTCCCTCCATCCTCCTCCTCCTCCTCCATCTCTCCTCCTCCTCCTCCTCTCCTCCTCCCCTCCCCCTCATCCACCTCCTCCTCCTCCTCCTCCTCCTCCTCCTCCTCCTCCTCCTCCTCTTCCTCCTCCTCCTCGGGTCGCCTACGGCTCCAGGGGAAACCGTGCACGCAGAGGGGTGTAGAGAGAAAGGGGGAGGCTTCTTAGAAGCACCCCTGCAGGGCCCTCTCTGCAGATGTGAGGCCGGCGTCTTCTCAGAAGAAGCCTCCCTCTATAAGAAACCCTCCCCCGCGACGCCAGGCTAGAGACGTTCGAGTGATGCCGGCGCCCCAGCGCCACCGCCTGGCCCCGCGCAGGGGCCGTCCCCCCCTTGGTACGGCACAGGCGCAGCCTCGGCCCTCTGCGCGCCGCCAGGCCAGACTTCAGTCGGGCGTGTTCCTCTACAGGAGGAATGTTCAGAAATAGTCAAAAAATAGTCGGGGGACTATGTTTTGAGCATTTTTGACCATTTTGGAGTAGACTTAAGTCGGGCCTGTCCCTCTACAGGAGGAATGTTCAAAAATAGCAAAAGAATAGTCAGGGGACTATTTTTTGTTGCTTTTTCACCATTTTGGCGCATTCCCCGGAAAGGGCATATAAGCCCAGGGTTCTCTCTTGGTTGGTTTGCCTCCGGGTTTGACTTGAGGTGGGCAGGCGAACTTCTTTTGCGATCAATATCGAGGTCGAGGTGGGCCGGCGAATTAAACTTTGAGGATGTCCCTAGCGAAACGCTGGTTTTTGAATTCGCGATCGATAAATCACAGGGTGCGGGACACGTTTTGGTCAGGGGCATGCATTACGTATGTTCCTATATGTCGGCCTCTCCATTAATGATAGATTGGCCCTCTCCAGGGGCACGAATCTATTAGGTGTCCAGGCCATCCAGGGGGATATCTAACATGGTTGTCCCGAGCAAGGACAACGTATTTTCACGTTCCGTAGGCACGTCCCCTGGCACGTCGCCTGGCGCGTCCCTTGTGACGTTCCGCGGCGCGTCCTGGTGGCATGTCTCCCAGTTAATTAGTTCTGGGGCAGCTGCTATGTGCTTAGGCAGCTCGAGCTGAAGATCCAGATCAGTTCGGTCAGGACTCTGATGCATATGAGGACTCGATCCACAACGCTGTAGAGCACAATCGCGGCATGGCACATCGCAATTCAGCACGGCGCAGCACAGCACAGCCCTCGGCACGGTGCATCAAGATCAATACATTTAGCATTGCAACCTGACGCGTTCCTTGGCACGTTTCGTGGCGCGTCCCGTGGCGAGTCCTCTTGGCACGTCGCGCGGCGAATCCCCTGGCACGTCCCGCGGCACGTCCATTGGCACGTTCCGTAGCGCGTTCCCTCGGCACGTCCCGCGGAGCGTCCCCGTGGCACGTCCCCTGGCACGTCGCTTGGCGCGTCCCTTGGGACGTTCCGCGGCGCGTCCTCCTGGCATGTCCCCTTGTCAATTAGCTTTGGGGCAGTTACTATGTGCCCAGGCAGCTCGAGCTTGGATGCAAAGGAGGACTCGATCCACAGCGCTATAGAGCACAATCGTGACATGGCACATCGCAATTCAGCACGGCGCAGCATAGCACAGCACTCGGCACGGTACATCAAAACCGAGACATTCAGCATTGCATTTGCCCGTCGCCCAATCAGGTGCCTTTGAAGCGTTGCCATGCCTGCCATTTCTAAGTATATTCCTTTCTGGGTTCGTGGGGCGATCATGTTTTTGAGTATCTTTTATGTTTCGTCGAAAATCCCCCTGTAGGGGGACACGCCCGACTTAAGGCCTGACGGGCGCGTCGTTCACGGAGGCGCGGCTCGCCCAGGGTCGGGATCCCGCACGGGAGATGTGTGCCCCGGGGCGGGTGTGAGTTCGACCGGTGTTTTGCACCGAACCGCCCAAATCCAGGCCTCCCAGACGCAAGAGTGACCTTTCGCCGGAGTGACCTCTGGTGCGGGCACGGATGGGTACCCAGATGGCTGAAGACGAACCAGTAGCAGTTGCTTGCGCACCCAGGTTTCGTCCCCCCGCGGCCCCCAAAAAGTCGCGCACGAAAGGTCACTCTTACCCAGGGTCACTCTTGCGTATAGCCGAATCTAGGCCTCCTAGACGGGGTCGGAGTAGATGGGGTCGGAGGATCGCGCCGCATCGGCGATGCATCGGCCATGCGACTCGACGTGGAGCCCGATTTGCTTCACGTCGACGTTGCCGCTGCATCGTCCACGTCGGCGATGCATCGCTGGTGCATCGCCGATGCATCGCCGATGCATGGCCGATGCATCGCCGATGCCAATGTATCGGCGATGCGGCGCGATCCTCCGACCCCATCTACTCCGACCCCATCTAGGAGGCCTCTACCAAAACAGATGCCCCCCAGCCGCTTGCAGCTCCCGATGGTTGCCGATAGGTGGGGCATGCGGCAGCATCTGTTTGCGGCAGTTCTGTACACCAACGGATCGAACTCATGCCCCCCGTCAGAGTCCCCCCCCCTGGTCGATCCAAACATGGCAGCACGGTGGCTTGCTCACGGCGGAGCTCTGGCTGGCGTTGCCCGCCAGGGCGCGGCGGTGCGCTGGCAAAGCGTGTCGATGCGCCTCTGCGGGTCCTCCAGGTTGACTTCCTACTCGGTCGTGCCTTGGATGGTGTCGCCGAAGTCGTGGCTGCGGCTCCGGCGCGACACACCCTCGAGATCTTCTTGGCATCGCTCGGACGTGTGCACTCTTTCTCGGCAAGAGCCATCTAGGAGCATCTTGGATCATCCATTGGAACAAAAAAAACGCACGCAGCCGATAAATGCACAGGGAATGGACGCTCGAGCGATGGCAAGTCTCCTCTCCCACCGTTTAACGAGGCTTGCTTCAGGGGTCCCGACCTTCTTCGGTGAATGGGGGCCTCCCAGGCACAGACCTTTCCCTCGGCCCTGCCCCCCCCCGCCTCGGAGCGTCAACGCAGGCCGCTGTGGGATAGAGCGAATGAGGGCTGGTGGTAGGGCTGCTGTGACGAGCGAACAACACACACAGACACACAGACACATACCCATACCCGTATGAGGGGTCGGAGGGAGGAGGACTGGCTTTATATGATGTTCCTACCTACGTTAGTAGCCTTGATCACCAGAAAGAATTTCGAGCACCAAGAAAGTATCGCCATCGGACAGCTTTCGGGTGTCGGGCCCTGGGAGGCGATACTCGCTCGGCGCTTCGCCAGCGTGTCCGGCAGACACTGCTTCGATGCTTTTCGGCGTGCTCGAAATGATTTCTGGGATGCGGTCCTTCAGTACAATGGGATAAACATTAGATTGGCTATGGGTATGGGTACGGGTTGTCGGACCCAGGGTGAGGCTCCCGCTCGAGCGGTGACCCCCATCCGACAACACGTGTGTGTTGTTCGTTCGTCATGCTGTTGGCGGCCAGCTCACACAGTGCATCCCTGGCGCAGGCGCGGGCGGTTGCACTGCGTTGACGCGCTGCAGCTGCGCTGTTCTGCGCTGGTGCTATTGTTTGCGTTGCTCTGTAGCGCATGTGCTTTGCACTGCTTTGCATTGCAGCGCAAGCGTAAGGCGATCCACTGCAAACAGGCAACGTGACGCAACGCACCAGCGATGCAATGCCTTGCACCGCGCTCCACGGTAACACAAGCCAAATTGAATCAAACAATACAACAACAACAACAACAACAACAACAACAACAACAGCAACAGCAACCACAACAACAAAACACGCAATGCAAGTAATGAAAAGCACATCAACGCACTACACCGCAATGCATTTGCACCTTTGATAATCATAGCGGCGCAGCCTTCTGTCTGCGAGTAACGCACATCAGAACACAGCAATGCCGTAATGTTCGACAGGGTGTTCGCTCAGTATTTTGTCATACTTCCTTGAACACATTGCGAGTTGAAACGTGTTTCAATGTATGTTCAGCTTGTCTTCGGCGTGGACTCAGCTTGTCGTCAGCTAGTCGTCAGCTTGTCATGGCTCGCGTTGGCTACGCCTCCTTGGGCGAGGCGTCCACGGACATCTTGCACGGGTAAGGTCTTGCGCATACCCACGAGCCCGCGCATGCAACGCAGCGCGTACCATCACATGCTGGCACATGCTGCCGCGCATGCGCGCGCATCGCGGCCCATCGAACAACTTTCAGCGCGCGTACCCGCACATGCCAGCGAGAATTGTTCGTCAAGAGTGGAAGTAGAACGCAGGGAGGATTAAGGATTTAGGATTCAGGAGCAGTGGGAGACAGGAGGAGGTGCAGGACAGAGGGTGCGTCTGAATGGGCAAGGAGGAATGTGTTATTACTGCTGTTGCGTTCTGCAATGGTGAAGGAATGTTCCAAGTAGGCAAAGCGCATGACGACTTGCTTGAATTATGCTGACGAACTGTTGTCTAAAGTTTCGTTGTCACAATTTGTTGGACAACGTCCTGCTGCTCTACACCAAAGAAACATATGAATCAGCCACCCGCCCAACACCATCACCATTACCATCAGCAGCAACAGCATCATCACCAACAGCATCGCCATCATCACTAACATCGCCATCATCGCCACCGTCGCCATTGTCGCCATCATCAGCATCAGCAGCAGCATCAGCATCTTCATCCTCATCTTCGTTCGTCATCCTCATGTCGTCGCCGTCGTCATGGTCATCATCATCACCGTCATCGTCATCAGCGCCTCCATATCGCCACCATCGCCATCGTTACCATCAGTGCCGTCATCGTCGTCGTTGTCGTCGTCATCCAATCGTCGTCGTCATCGTCATCTTCGTCGTCGTCATCTTCGTCATCCGTAACCCTGTTGGCTCAAGTTATACATATTAATGGTGCGTGCCGCACGTGTGGGTCAGTGCGCGCTCTCGCAGCATCATTGGCACCATGACTTCCTTCCCCGGCGCCAGCTTCCTGGGCCGGTTTGGGCTGGACGAGCACAACCTTCGCGAGTCGATCTCGGGTGGCGTCTCTGGGACCGCTATGATTGTAGTGACGCACCCGTTGGACACGATTAAGACGCAGATCCAGCTGCAGCACAAGACGGCTGCCGGCGGAGATACTTCCAGCGCGGTGAAGAATATGGGGATACTCCGCACCGCATTGGCAATTTATAAGGGTCCTGACGGGCCAAAAGGTTTTTTCTTCGGGGTTCAGGCAGCACTAGTCCAGGGAGCTGGCAAGGTCGCATTGCAGTTCTCAATATTCGGCCAGCTCAACCGAACCATTGGGAAAGCATGGGCAGATCGCTATGGAAGCGGGGGTGAGCAGACTGCCGCAGACAAGCGCACCCAGCGAGCCGTGGCAGGGACCTGCGCAGGGTGTGTCGAGTCCATGCTGTGGACTTCTCCCACCGAGCGGCTGAAAGTCGTCAGGCAGGACATGGTCAGAGGAACTGGCAGAGCGGCGCACGAGGGCGCGCAGTTCCGAGGGCCGATCCACACCACGATGGAGCTGTTCAGAACCGAGGGCCCTCTGGCACTGCACCGCGGCGCTCTGCCGACCCTCCTTCGACAGGGCACGCAGCTCGGCTTCAGGTTCCCAGGGGCGGAGGAGCGGCAGAGACACGGCTGTATGTTCGCGTGGTGTCTTGGGCGTTGGGGGAAGTAAAGGAAGCCAAACAGAAAATGCAGGAATGGATTCTACAGACTTGCACTACATCTGCCGACCCCTTACATTCACCAATTGTCTGGGCGTCGACGTACAGATAGTGTCTAGGATGGGTGGCTTCTTGAAAGTAGATATTTGGTGCAGTGTTCGGGGCCATGTTGGGCGGGGGGGAAACGTCTGAAGGCCCTCCTTGGTCGTTCTGGAACCTCATGCGGGCCGCATGAGAAAGCCTCTTGGGTGATCCCTGAGCCCTCGTGAGACGTCTTCCAACCCTCCTGAGGGTCTGTGGAGCCGTCTTGAGTCGATTGGGACGGCCTCTGGAGCCGTCTTTAGCTGTTAAACGAGTGACCTTTGGCCAATCCCACTACCTTGTCTTGGTGAGATTCCTCGTGGATGCTTGTGGGGATCTCGTGGGAGGCCTCTCGGAAGCCTCTTGGGGACAGTTCTGGGTGCGTCCTGGGGCCTCACGGGGACTTTGGGGGGCCTGGTTTGTGCCTTGTAAGGCCTCTGGGGGCCCCCTGGGGGCTTGTCATATTGCAGCGGAGGGCTCGCGAAAAGACTGTTCGAGCTCCCCCACTTGAGGCTCCCTCTGGACCGTCTTGGGTTGTCTAGGGGGCTTCTTGGGTCGTATTGGCGTCGAAAGCGGGGAAAGGCGAGAACGCCAGAATGCATCGAAAATATGGACAAATTTGGACGCGTTGCGTAACCCCACCAGCCCATCCAGAGACGATGCCCAAAGGATCTGCCTCGATCAGGGAAGTGGGCAGCACGCAGATGAAGGGTCCCTCTTGGAGCGCTCTTGGGACATTCTTGGGCGCTCTTGGGGCCGTCTTGGGGCTCTCTTGGGCCCTTGAGGCGTCTTGGGGGCCTCTTGGCGGTCCCGGGGGCCTCTTGGAGCGTCTCGGGGATCCTCCTGGGGCCTCTTGGGGGCCTCTTGGGAGTCCCTTGGGAGCCTCTTGGAGGCCTCTTGGAGCCGTATGGGCGCCTCTTGGGGTCCTCTGGAGGCGCTCTTGGGAGCTTTAGGGGCGCTCTTCGGGCCATCTTGGAGGTCATCGATCAAACAAGAGGGGAGCTCCAATTAGCACCCCCCCTTCGGGAGCCCCAAAAATCGCATCTTGGGGCGCTCTTGTAGCACTCTTGGGCGCTCTTGGAGCCCTCTTTGGGCTCTCTTGGGTCTCTCTTGGGGCCCTGTTGGCCCATATTGGAGCCATCTTGAAGCCTCGGATGGCAATCAGAAGCGAAATGGCGATAAAGCAACAATCATAGATTTCCCTTAGACGTTGGAAGGATGTTTGGGGCTTCCGTGGGGAGCTCTTTGGCCACTTGGAGCCGTCTTGGAATTTTCTTGGGGCATCTTGGAGCATATTGGAAGCCATCTTGAGGCATCTTGCGCTATCTTGATCCATCTTGGAGGCCATCTTGGGCTCTCTGAGGCCCTCTTGGAGCCGTCTTGGGCCATGTTGGACGCCCCGACAGCTCGCGACACCCCCCGTCCAAGTCCAGGGGAGGGGGGAGGGGGAGGGGTAAACCCCTCCCCGAAGAGGAAGAAGGGGGGTGAAAAAGGAAACGCCCTAGACCACCTACGCCCAGAGGGCTAGTGGGATTACTGATTTGAGCACCTTGCGGTCTCTTGGAGCACCCTTGGGGCGTCATGAGGGCCTCGTGGGCAGTCATGAGGCCATCTTGGGCGTCTGGGAGTCCTTCTGGGCCGTTTTGGTAGCACGTGGGAGCCATGGCAGCCGTCCTGGAGGCATCTTGGGGCCAGTTTGGAGGCCCTCCTAGCGGCAGCGGCAGTCCCAAAAGGTCCCGGATAAGCTCGTCCCCGGACCAGGGGCATCCACCACCCGAGCAGTTTGGTACACAGTGGGGGGAGATTCCCAGAGGGGGGGAGAAGATCACACGCCTCGAGACCCCCTAAGCGGCCGGCGGATACGAACATAGAGGAACATATAGCTAAGTGTGTGTTAGTTGTGTTGTTCGATTCCCCCTCAGGTTTGCGCTATACTCCGACGTAAAGAACGGCATTGATTACGTCTTCGCCGGCTCCAAGCGTGAAGGCACCTTGGGTGAGATTCAGAAGTTCGTCCAAACCATGGTAAGTGGAGCATCAGTCGGGGTGCTCGGGACGATACTGAATAACCCCCTTGATGTGATTAAGACAAGGATGCAGCGGGCCGGAAGTGAAGGAACTTTCCGAGAAACGATTTCAACGATATTGAGGGAAGAAGGCGTCAGAGGTTTCTACCGTGGTCTCGCAGCCCGTTGCCTCAAAGTTGGGATGCGGCTGTCAATTATTTTTTCTGTCTTCGAGAAGTCCAACCAGTCGATGGGTGGAAAACCCTTGTGAGCCATCGGTCTTCGAGAAGTCGAAGTGGCCACTCGAGGGTACGTGAGTTGCTTCACACATTTTCCAGGTGCGCTCTTGATACAGCTTTCGTATCACGAAGGCCTTGCAGCCGGTGCCGCCGACCCAAAAGGACGACGACGACGACGACCACGAAGACGACCACGACGACAACGACAACGACGAGTTGATGATCCTGCCACAGGCTCGGGACATGGGGCGGGCGGTGGAGGGAGGAGGAGGAGGAGGAGGAGGAGGAGGAGGAGGAGGAGGAGGAGGAGGAGAAAGAGGAGGCAGAGGAGGAGGAGGAGAAGGAGGAAGAGGAGGAGGATTTTCCAGATGCGCTCCTTGTACAGTTTTCATATTACGAAGGCCTTGCGGCCTGTGCCGCCGACCCTGGAAGATTGCACACACGACGGGCGAGGTCGGCTCTGAAGCGCGCGCGGGGAGCCATTTTTGGAGGCTTCAAGTGGCTAGCTGAGGCCCTTCGCGGGGCCGTCTTGAGACCGTCCTGGAGGCCTCTTGGGCCATGGGTGCTCTCTTGGACCGTCTCGTGGCCATTCGGCGGCGGCATTGGATAAGGAAAGTATTCCTGGGGCCCAGACCCTGGCGCATTCCTTTCTGTTTCAAGGCGAGGTGGGTGGCCCACGTTTTGCCGCCCATCGGTCGCGAGACCCTGGGTTCCTTATCGAAGGCATCCTTATCTAAAACCTCCACTGTATTCCGTAGCCATTTTGGCTCAAGCCGGTCTCAAGCCCCTGGCTGCCATCTGCCTCCGCTCATGGCCGGTCCGGGTGCAGCAGCTGCTTGAGGTGATGGCGACGGGAGGGGACCCCCGCAGGTCCCCACGCTCACGCGCGGAGCGCAGCGAGGCTGCGCGGCGGGCGCGCTCGGCGGCGGACGCCGCCGTGCGGCATGCCCGAGCGCGGGTGGAGGAGCTCGTGGAGAGGCTGGCCCTCGCCGAGAGGACGCTGGAGGCCTTCACGGGCGATGCTGAGCTGGCCGACAGGCTCGCCGCGGTGGTGCCTGCGAGGAGGAACGTCGCGCTGCACGCCAAGGCGGGCGCCATCAAGGGGCGCATCGCAGGGGCGGCGGCGTACGAGCTCAGGAAGGCGCAGAAGCAGGAGCGCCTCGGGAAGCCCCCCTTCCTCAACCCCTCGGCGACGGAGGAGGTGCACGAGGACAAGGCGGGGGCCGCGCAGAAGCAGGGGCATGCGGCTCAGCAGGTGCAGAGGTTGCTGCACGAGAGAGAGCTGCCCCAGGCAGCGCCCGAGGACGTCCTGGGCGCGAACTGGCTGGCGCCAGGCTGCTGGCAGCCAGGCGACCCCGAGCTGGAGGCGCGGGCCTTCGGAGAGGGATTCGCAAGTGGCTGGCGGCTGGCGGCGCGGCGCGCGGAGGCCTCGGAGGGTCCCCCTGCGGCTGAGGCCACGCAGGTGGTGACCATCTGGACTTGCTGTCTGGAGGCGGGGACGCGGCCCGAGATGCACGGCATCGGGATCGAGCTGCGGCGCCTCCCCAAGGACAACCAGGCCCCGCCCGAGCCCACGGCGGCGAGCGACCACTCGATAGAGTACGGCGTCCGCCTGGGCCCCACGCAGCGGCAGCAGGGCATCGACGGCGATGGCGAAGTGCTGCCGCTAGCGGCCGAAGGCGGGAGCGGCGGGCCGCAGCTCGAGGGCCCCCAGGGCGCTGCGGCCGCCCGCGCCCGCGACCCCGCCGAGCTCTACGCCGCCTTCTTGGAGGAGATCGGGCGCTGAGCGGTGGCGGGGCCCTAGAATGCCTGCATGAAACCGCCGTGCTCGCGCGGCGCCTACATATATATATATATATACACATATACACATATATATATATATATAAAAACCTCCACTGCATTCCGAAGAAGAGAAACCTCCACTGTATTCCGAAGAAGAGAAAACGCCATGAACAGAAGCTCGTGGCTCCGCGCGGAGTTCTTGGATCCTCGCTGGGCCCCCCCCCCCCCGGAGGCGCCTCCGGCGCCGCCCCTGGCGCGCTCCGCGCGCCAGGGAGGGGGGTCCAGCGCAGATCCAAGAAATCCGCGCGGAGCGCCAAAAGTTTATGTGTATGCCGTTGTCTTCTTCTGCTATGGGAGGTCTCTTAGGCCGTCTTGCGCCATTTTGGGGCTCTCGTCGGCCGTCTTGGGGCCCTCTTGGCCGTCGGGGAGGTCTCCTGGGGCCGTGCCAGGGCCGTCTGGGTCCCTCGAGCGGCGCTTCGGGGCCGTTCTAGGGAGCCGCTTGGGCCGCACCACGGCTCTCAAGGGTTTCCTGGAATTCTCTTGCAGGGCCTAGTGAGCTGTCTTGACGCGATCTTGGGGGCAGCGTGGACCGTCTTAGGCGGTCGCGTGGGCCTCGTGGGCAGTCTTGGCGCGATGTTGTGGGTTTGTTGGGCAGCGCTGCGCGGTCGGAGGGCCGACAAAGCGAGAGCACGAAATCGTTGAACGGCACCTTTTCGGCAGAAGACCCGAAACAGGCTTGCACAGGTACGATGAGGTCAGGAGGGAAAAAACACACACAGACACAAGTAATCGTCGATTCCCCAGAAAATATAAGAAAATATGGGAAGTGCGGGGGAAGACACAAACCCAGAAAATATAGGAATCTATGGGGAATCCTTTTATTTGTGTCTATTTGTTTGTGTGCTCCAGGGCCCCCTTCATGCGGGCCACGATGGGGGGTCACGATGGGTGGTCACGGTCGGGGGGCCACGATGGGCGGATCGGGATCGGGCCAGGGTTGGGGATATAGGGGTCGGGATGGGGGTTGTGACAGGGGTAGGGATACGGGGTATAGGCAGGGACAAACAGGATCGGGATCGGGATAGGGATGGGGGACGGCAACAGGAGGCCACGAGAGGCAACGGGAGGCAACGGGAGGCTACGGGAGGCTACGGGAGGCAACGTCGCCCGCCCGATTCTGGATCTTGCAGCCCACGTACTGGATTCTTAGAGAAGACATATATATATATATATATATATATATATATATATATATATATATATACAAGTGGCACGTGTGTGCCCAGGCTCATACAACAAGCTGAAGGGGCGTTTGAAGCAGGAGTGACATGCAACAGCGAAGTCGCACTCGAGCGCAAGTGGGGTTGCCACACCTTGCGATGTGTGTACCAGGGCCCCCCAGGAAGCCTCAGGAGGCCCGACTTGGATACCAGAAGAGGCTCCAGGAGGCCCCAGGATTGTGAGTGTTGTGTGTGTGATGTGTGCTTTGTGTGGTGCGTGTTTTTTGTGTGTTGTCGGTGTTGTGTGTGTATGTTATGTTTGTCTAGCGTGTGATGTGTTGGGCGTGATTTGTGTCTCTGTGTGTGCATGTAGTTCTGAAGCCCCAGGAGGCCCCAGGAGGCCCCAGGCGACCTCAGCAGGCCCAGGAGAACTCCAGGAGGCTCCGAGGCGGGGTCTGGGGTACCAGAAGGTCCAGAAAGCCCCAGGAGGCCCCAGGAGGTTCCAGGAGGCCCCCAGGAGGCTCCGAGGAGGGGTCTGGGGCTCGATTTTGGGAGGATTTTTCATGCGAAACCGCCATTCTCTGAGAATCGGGGTCAAAATTATTGAAATTACCATGTGTTTTTGAAGGTTTTATGTTAAAGTGTTGAAATTCCCATGTGTTTTTTGGACCCTGACGTCACGATCTGCGTGAGGGGTGCCACCGATTTTCAGAATTTCGAGGATGTCCCGAGCGAAACGGCCAGAAAAATCGCAAACGCGTGCGCATTAATCGCATCTGAGCTCTACTCCCTCGGAGAGGTGCGTATGAGAATATATATATATATATATAATATATATATATATATATATATATATATATATATATATATTATGTGTAGAACCCTTGCAGAGACAAGCTGTCAACGGACACACGAGGGAAAAGCAAATAATGTTGCCTCTTGAGGCTCTCTTGGGCGCACTTCTGGAGACCATTGAAGGCGTCTTTGGGGTTTGTTAGGCCATTTTGATGACGGTTGGGCCCGTCTTGGGGCAATCGTGGGCCGTTTCCGGGCCTTCTGGGTCCGTCGTGGACCAAAGTTGCCGCAAGAGCGCAAACTTGTCCCGAAGATGATCCGGAAGGGATGGGGACTGCTTTCCCCAGAGGGAGAATGCTTCGCCAAGGCGCCAATGCTACTGAGAAGGGAGTGGGGTGCACATCCCCCTGAGCCCCCCCACCCCACGCATCACAGGGAAGGGGCTTCCCCACTTCGACACAACTGTGACATTGCCAATGTTCCTCTGATTGGTGTGCACCTCGGGTGATTGGCGCTGCCCCTTCGGCTTGACGCGGCCGCACAAGCTTCTCACACGGGCCGACATGGTCGTCCAATTTTCCAACCGCATGCGACTGGCAGATGGTATTGCTTGCGGATGCAGTGAGCCGAATCGGGCGGGACGTAACCCATCATCACGCCGCGTGAGTGACAGAAGCAAAGGGGTCGATTGCGCGGACATGCGCGTGTAAGTTTCCCGCGTGTGGCCGCGCGTAAGTGCCCTCTTCCCACTGCGGTGTGCCACGCTGGCGGCCCGCGTAAGCCGCGGCGTAAGGTCGCTATGTCTTCCCGCGTAAGACCCGTTTCTTGTCGTGGCTCACGCGAGGTCCTGCCTAAGAGGACGAGAGACCTTGGGCAAGTCGTCCGAGGTGCCAGGCACGCTGGGCGCCCGGCGTGCTGCTGGCCAGCTCGAAACGCTGGGCATCTCCCTATCTTCGCCATGTTGCGCAGTGCCGTGTCTTCGTTCCGCCTGCGGGCTGCCATGACTGCGGACCTGACGGCGCTCTCCTGGAGCTCGTGGGGCTGCGTGTCAGAGGGGGAACGGGTACCTATACCGCGACACTTCCCTAGTTTTCGCCGTTGGGGGCCTCCAGGGAGGCCTTCGTCACCACGGCTGAACCCGCCTCGAAAGTATGGTCAGAACGCACCCCGGGAAAGGTCCAGGAAGTGGCAGTGGTATTGTGTACTTTGGATTCCCCTTGCGTGTAGGCTTTTTCTTGTCCTGGCCCCTTCCGAGGCCGTCTTGTCGGGGTCGCCTTGTGGTTCTCTTGGGGTCCTCTTGGGCCGTCTTGGGGGCCTCTTTGGGCCGTCTTGGGGCCCGTTTGGGCCGTCTTGGGGCCCTCTTGGGGGCTTCTGGAGCCGTCTGACGGCCACCTTGGAGGCTGCTTGGGCCGGTATGGCCCCCCGGGGGTTGAAAAAAGGGGAGCATGTTTATTATTATTATTATTATTATTATTAGTATTATTATTATTATTATTATTATATATATATATAAACACTAATGTTTTTGGCCTGTGGAGGTGCTCTTGGGGGCCCCCTTGGAATCTTCTGGGGCCGCCTTGGGAGCCTCTTGGGCCCTTGTGCCGTCTTGGGGCCGTCTTGGAACGTCTGGAGGCCATGTTCAGCCGTCTGGAGGACCCTCTGGACCCCCAAGAGGCCCCAGATGCCGATGTCCGCGCGGATTTCTCGGATCGGCGCTGGGCCGCCTCCCTGGCGCGCGGAGCGCGCCAGGGGCGACGCCGGAGGCGCCGCCAGGGGGCTCCAGCGCCGATACCAGAAATCCACGCGGACCTCCGAATTTCCATGTTCATGTCATTATCTATTTCCCTGCTGCAGGCCCACCAAAAAATATTCTAAAATCCTTTTGTGGTTTGAATGAGATGTCCTTGGAACATTTCTAGCCGAAACCGTATTGCTTTGATCCATGGCTGAACGTTTTGAGAGCATAGATGCTTATAATGAGAACATTCGTTTATTCTGAGAATATGTTGTGTCACGCCTACGGGAACACCGGAACGGTCGGTCCCTGTTCAAGTCTGGCACCCTCCAACGTCGTCGCCGCGGACGTCAGGCGCAACGTTACTGGGGGGGGACTCCAGGGGGGGGCGCATGGACCTCCAACCGCCAATTGATGGCCGACAGCCGGGAGCCAAAAAAGGACGCACGCGGAGATGGCCCCACGTCGGTTCCGAACGCGCACGTTGCGCGATGATTCGTGGCACGGGGCTGGCCTCGCGGACCCGAGGGGGGGCCGCATTCGTGCACATGCCTGGGCGCGTGCGTCTCTTGAGGGCTCCCCGGACAGCGGCCTGGATGGTTCGGGGGTGGACAGAGCCCCCAACAGTGACACGTCGATTAGTGAATTGTCCGTTGTCGGTTCTCGAGAGGGCGCCGTGGCCGTTATTTTCCAGGCCTGCGACCGCCAGGTCTGGACCTCGGGTCGATGTCACTAAACCACGTTTTACTAAAGGGGGGTCTGTCCATCCCCGAATGGTCGACACCCGCCCAAGAACGTGCGCGCTCTGGCGAGTTATCGGGGGCCGTGCAGCGACGACGTGTCGCCGATTCCCGCCCGATGCTCCTCCCCCTCGAGCCGATCCCCCCTCCTGTTCCCCCTCGTTGCAGAGTCGGGGGTGGGCAGAATCCCCACCTTGACACGTCGATCCGTGAAATGCCCGCTCTCGGTTCTCGAGATGGCGCCGCGGCCCAGGCTTGCGCCCGCCAGGTTTGGGCCCGAGGTCGTTTTCACTAAGACGCGTTTTACTGAAGGGGCGTCTGTCCATCCCCGATGCAGAGGCCGAGAAGGGACCATCGGAGGCTGATAGACCTCCTACCCTGACACGTCGATTAAGGAATTGGCCGTTTTCGGTTCGCGAGAGGGCCTCGCGGCCGTCATTTTTGCGGGCCCAGGTCCGTCGGTTTCGGTCCTAGGCCGTTGTCACTAAGGGGAGGTTTGCTGAAGGGAGGTTTGTCCACCGCCGAGACCAGCAGTCATTAACAGTCTTCGCCCCGGAGGCATCGCCAGAGAGAGCCTCTGTCCTCGAGGGCTCGCACACGAATCCAGCACCTCGGCGCGGTCGGGTGCGTGGGCCCCCCTGGGCCTCCCAGCACCTCGGGGCCGGCGCGTCGCTCCGAGCCGATGTTGTCGGCGGTGCGGAGGGCCAAGACGAGCTCCCAGAGGCTTGGGAACTGCGACCAACGGGCCGTCTCGATAAGTAAAGATCGCAGTCTGTCTGGGATCCTCGAGGCGGAGGAGGGGGAGGAGGAGGTGGAGGAGGAGGAGGACTAGCGAGAAGGAGAGAAAAAGAAGAGGAGAGGGAGAGGGAGGGGGAGGGGGAGGGGGAGGAGGAGTGAGAAAGAGGAAGGAGGAGGAAGAGGAGGAGGAGGACCAGGGCAAACCCAAGACTCATCGACGATGTTGAAATACACCCTCCGTCCCAGATCCCTTTTCAGAAGCCCCTACAAGGTGTGATTTCCACTGGGAGACTTGCCCCGTAGGGGGGACAACCGTGGGAAGATCTTAAAGCGTGCCAAAAAATACTTCTCAGGAATTTCAACGCCACGGGTAAACTTGACTGTTGTGCCTTGGCGATCTTGAATCGCGCCAGAACTCCATTCCTGGGACTTCAACACAGCGAATCGCCGAAACTGTTGCGCCCTGACAAGTCTGAATCGTTCCAGAACACCATGACTGGTACGTTAACAATGAGAAGCAGTGTAACTCTTGCAAATGTTTAAAACGAATGTGCGCCGCGCTCAGGCGAGAGCCGCATTTTGGCAAGGAACCGCCCTCGATTCAGGAAGCTCTTACAACTTGTTTAAACGAACGTGCGCGCCGTTAAGGCGAAAGCCACATTTGAAAACGAGCCGCCCTCAAGTCGTGAAGCTCCTGCAAGCTTGTCAAAGGAATATGCGCGACGCTAGGGCGAGAGCCACCTTTTGAAAACGAGCCGCCCTAAAGCCGCGAAACCCTTGCACATGTTAAAAACGAATGTGCGCGGCTCTACGGCGAGAGCTACATTACGAAAACGAGCCGCCCTCAATCCGTAGACTAATGCAAACGTTTGAACGAATGCGCGCGGCGCTAAGGCGAGAGCCACATCTTGAAAACCATCCGCCCTCCATCTGCTTTCTTAGCCTCGGGTTCATGAATAGTGGGGACGTCGTGGACGAAACGCCCGGCCCGCCCTTTCGACCGACCTCTGCGTGCGACAGGGAGGAGTTATCAACAAGAAAAAGGCATGCAAGAGGAAAAGGCAGGTTCGGCCTTCCCTTTGGGCTTCCGGGGAGGGGTGGGGGGGATTCCAAGGGCTTCCCTCCAGGGCTTCTGGCCTCCCTTGCAAGAAAGATTCCAGGCTTCCCTCCAGGGCTTCTGGGCTTCCCTTCTGGGCTTCTGGCCTCCCTTGCAAGAAAGGAATCCAGGCTGTCCGGGGAGGGGTGGAGGGGGGGGGGGGCGCGGCCAGGGCGGCGCGAGCCCGGTGAGCGACGACGTGCGCAAGATCGTGGAGCACTACGAGAAGGTCCTGGCCTCCCTGGAGGCGGCCCCGCTGGGGACCAGGGCTCCCCTCGCGTCGCGAAAGAAACACGATGGGAGGTGGTTACTCGCCGGTCGTTGAAAATAGGTATTCCTGGATTCCCAGATCCCAATCTACCTCAAGCGCCTTCCTACTTCAAGAATCGGCATGCTGTTGCTGTGTTTTGTTCCCTACCTAGGCTCTGCCTAGAAGGGTTCTTACCCTGTAAGCTTAAGGGGCCGGGCAGTGGAAAACGCCCCGGGCGGTTCCCCCAGGATCCGCCCCGCGGTTCCCCCAGTTACGCCCCTTGGGTTCACCCACCTTAGCTTAGCTAAGCTAAGCTTAGCTTATAGCATCTCAGCTTAGCTTAGCTTAGCTCTGCCTAGCCTAACTTAACTTAGCTTAGCTCAGCTCAGCTTAGCTAATCTCATCTCAGCTTAGCTTAGCTTAGCTTGGCTTGGCTTGGCTTAGCTTAGCTTAGCTTGGCTTAGCTTAGCCGAGCCTCGTTTAGCTTAGCTTAGCATAGCTTAGCTTACCTTAGCTTAGCGCAGCGCGGCATTAGCACAACATGGCATAGCATAGCATAACATAGCCAAGCATAGCATAGCATAGCATAGCATGGCATAGCTCAGCATAGCATAGCATAGCATATCATAGCGCAGCGTAGCATAGCATAGCATAGCATTGCTTAACATAGCACAGCGTAGCATAGCATAGCATAGCCTAGTATAGCCTAGCATAGCATAGCATAGCATAGCATAGCGCAGCATATCATAGCATATCATAGCATAGCGCAGCATAGCATTTCATTGCATAACCTAGCATAGTATAGCATGATGTTGATGTAGATGTAGATGCAGGTGTAGATGTACATGTAGCTGTCGGTGTAGATGTAGATGTTGCTTTCCTAAATGCTCCAACTCTGGGAGGGCCTGGACCCAATCCACTTTATCCGCCTTCCCACTTCATGTTTCTACCTACTTCTTCCGACCGACGTGTAGCCAGTTTCGGCTGCCGTTGGACCGTGCTGTGCCCCAGGGCCGTCAAAAACCGGGTCGGGACTGACATATCAATGGCCCCTCTGGTCGCCCGAGATGGGTACGGAGAAAGTTGGCACGATGCCAAACAGCAAATGGGGCTCTAGACGGACAGCGGCCGCTGTGGAGCAGGCGGCCTTCTGTCTCAAGTGGATGAGGTCCGCTGCGATACCGACAGCGAGTCCTGTTCAAAATGAACCGGACATGTTGTCGGTGTTCGTACCTTTCTGGATCGACCCGAGGGGAGGGGCCGAGACCCTCGGGGGTCCACACTGTGAATCGGCGGCGAGCGGGGGGGGGGGGAAGTGAGCAGGAGGAGGTCTTCTCAGAAGGCTGGGAAGTCCCCTGGCCTTCTGAGAAGTGTTCTAAGCCTTTTCCGAAGACAGAACAGCTTTTCAGAAGGCGCGAGGGCATCTGAGAAGTCCCGCCGCCTTCTGAGAAGGCCTTCTCCTTCTCATTTCCCCCCCTCGCTCGCAGGGCGTCCTTGCCAGCTTGGAGGCGGCGACCTCACCGCCAAGAGGAAGAGGAGGAGGAGGAGGAGGAGGAAGATGGAGGAGGAGGAGGAGGAGGAGGGGAGGAGGAGGAGAGGAGGAGAGGAGGGAGGAGGGGAGGAGGAAGAGGAGGAGAAGGGAAGGGGAGGAAGGGGGGAGGAGAGGAGAAGGAGGAGGAGGAGGAGGGAGGAAGGAGAGAGGAGGAGGGGG